AAAAGAAACCTGTAAATCACGCTTCTCAAGCATTTGTAGTCGGTCCATGAGAGAGCCTTTGTGAAGAACTTCCTGAAGTGCATTAGAAAGAGTTTTGCACTCATCTTCTTCTTCTTCTTCTTCTGTTTCCATTTTTCTGACTACTGGCTTGGTTGAATTTGAATGACTTCCTAACAAGCTATGTTTCTCTTCCAGAAGTTGCAGCTGCATCATCATCATCAGAAAGTTAAATTCAATAAGATAAATATGGCATCAATAACAGTTTAATTTCTTCTATTTTGTATGCTACTTACTGTCTTATCAAAACACTTTGAAGTATTAAGCCATAAGTACTGAAAATTGGACTGGGCTTGGCTCCCCTCCTGTTCATGATTTGGAGGGTCCTGTTCGGATCCACGAAACCTACCACAGTTCATTCTAATTATTCGAATCATTCATTTTATAGGGTCTTTTCTGTGTATCATCTATAAAAAAAAAAATTAAAAATTAAGTCCATCCGATATTCATAGCGTATTTAATTTATCATATTTGTCACTAAAAAAATGAATGATTCATTTTTAAAATCACACTTGTCGTTCATTTTTTTAGAAAAAAGATATAATAAATTAAATAAGTTACGATTGTCGAATCAATCTAAATTTATTTAACTTTATTATGTGGATGATATATAATAAGTGCACCTTATAAAATCAAAGGTTCAAATCATTAAAACTAGATTTGTGATAGGTTTTATAAGCCTAGACAATACCTTTGTGGATTGGAGGGGTAAATTTTATTGATCTCCATGAGGTTTGATAACATGCAGTAAAACTTATCAGTTTAACATAATTATGTTGAGCTATCCTAGGAAGTTATTGTAATTTCTCATGTAGGTGAGAGAATAATAGAAATAATTGTGATATCTCGACTTCTTATTTGGATGAATAGGATTAAAAGAGGATACATGTGTATTTTTACTTTATTTGCTTTGTATTTAGATGAGTAGTCTAAGGGTTGGTTTGAGAAGTGGGTTGGCTTTTTAGTTTTTTGGCTTTTTTGACTATTTTAGCCTGGGCTAAAAAGCTTGGTTTGAAAAGAAATTTTTGACTTTTTGACTTTTTTTGTGAGAGAAGAGTGTAATGATTATGGGTTGGATGTGATGCTTTATTTTTTGTGGCTAAAATAGTCTATTTTGTATTTTGTGACTAAAATAGTCAAAAAAACCCCATGTTCTTCTTCCCAAACGGTGCCTTAGTATGTTAAATTTTTTATAGAGACCAATTTTAGTTTCTCCCTACTTTTGGTAAGAAACGAAATTTAAAATTTTGAGGGATTTGTGTTTCTCACCACATTAATAATCTAAACAACAGATGAAAAATCTCATTTTTTTCCCATTTCATTTATTTTCTCACCAAATCTTTGAAATATTAAGATTTCATTTATATAACACTTGGTTTTTTTTTTCCATTAATAATTTGTTAGTCATATAGATAGAAAAATGATATTTTCTCTTTTATATGTTCACATGCACTAGCATTGGTATCTTTAGCCTGCTAAAAGGAGAAGTCATATAATTATATCAAAATTATGAAGTTTGCCATATATTCTTCAATTATCAAGAGATGCAAATATAATTCACCATTTGTTTTTAATTATAAAAAAGTCATCAAGCATATATATTATTTATAATAGTTTTTTTTATCAGATATTATTTATAATAGTTGAATCAATCATATCTGGTGTGAATTGACTTCCCATAAATTGATTATGAATCAATACGTGTCAAGAATTAACCAATACGCATCTGATTTTCATTTTAATTGAATATTTAAAAAAGGAAAATGCTAGAGGTCTTAAATTTTCTATCAAATAAATGACCAAATGTCTCACATGGGTGTGGGGTCTACAAAATTACGGACCCCACACCCATGTGAGACATTTGGTCATTTGTTTGATAGAAAATTTGATGTCCCTAACATTACCCTTTAAAAAAACTGAGATGTATAAGGTGATAACTCTCTCTGGGTTTTATGGCTTTGTTATAAATAGAGGGAGAAAACTACACCCACAATTCTTATAATTTGTAATGTATTAATTTGATTTTTATAATCCTAATAATCCATTTTTACCTTAACTTTTTAAATTAATAAAATTTAATCTAATAGATAACGTATCTTCATTAATAAAACTGAGATCAATAAGCAAAATAATCTATTTACTCTCCTCAAAATAGTTAAAAATTTTAATTCAATTTGAAATGATCCATTACCTTTGAATAAATTATATTACCGTGATATCTATCTAGTTTCTTATAAAACATTATCATTTATGTTGTATTTGGTTTGAAAAGTTGGAAAGGGATTTGGAAATGAAAAGGGAAAAGGGAAAAGGGAGATGAAATATGAATAAAATATACTTACATTTCACATAGTTTCATACACCTTTTCCCTTCCCTTTTCTAAATTCCTTTCCAAATCTCCTAACCAAACTCAGTATTAGGCTAATAAATTGAAATAACGTAAAAAATTAAAATGCATAGTTTATACGATTACAACTATAGTAACCATATTTACAAAACATGCAATATACATGGAACACATGTATAATTTGCCTATATTATATGCAAGAAACAAAAAAGGCTGGATTACCAAACGATCAAGGCGATCCAATCTAGGAAGAAGGGGCAAGGGTGACGTGAATTCCTTCTCTTCTTCTTCTTCTTCATGTTCCATCACTTGGAAATTCAATCAAGTTCTTGCTTTAGAATGCAGACACACCCTTCATGGAGAGAGAGAGAGAGTGAGAGAGAGAGATGTGGACACTCTGCTTGCTTTATGAAGTACAACCCTCAACTCTCCAGAGATATGGGGGAGAAGCTGTTAGGATGAAGAAAGAGGCATTAAATGACCAAAAATGGTTTAGACTTCTAAAAATAGACCTTTAATAAAGCATTAATTTATCTTTTTCTTCTCCATTTTTTATCTTTTACTTCACTGTTTTTTTTTTTAATGGGTGGACAGCTCATTAGAGCCCTACAACATAGACTCTGAAATGACAACTACCTTCCCATACTCTCTTGTTGTCACTCTATTCATCCAATCCAATTTTACTTTGGATGGGATTTCACTCAAGTTGAAATTTGAACATGATGGGATATCTCTGGGTCATGTTTTGATGATTGAAATTATTCATTTTAGAAGGTTATATATCATTTATCAAAAATTTAAATTTATTTAATGGTCGTAATTTTTTTATTTTATTGTTTTTTATATTTATTTAAAAAAACGATAAGTGTATTTTAAAAGTAGACTATCTAATGTTTTTCATAGATGATATACATTGAGAGGCTCTAGAAAATGAACAATTTATATTATCATAATTGAATTGCTCCACAAGTCCGAACAAAACGATTATGTTCAGATTTAAAATTAAGAGAAACTTAACCCTATTGATTTTTCTATCTATCATATTTTATTGGGTAATTACATTGCTCTCTCTTGATACTTAGAGAAATTATAATAAATCTTACAATTTTGACATAATTACATTAAATTTTATTGAAATTTTAATTTATATAATCCTTAACCCAATTTTTGTCAAGAATTTATTAATTATATAAATAAATGAATAATATTTTCAGTTTATTTATATTAAATTGTATACTTTGTGTGTGCTTTTTTTTATTATTGTGTTTCTCATCCCAATTCATTTAATTTTATTAAAATAAAAATTAATTTAATTATATGAAAATTATAAGATTTATTATGTATATATTTTTTAATTTTATTCTTATCTCATCTTCTCTCTTATCAGTGTGGCTTTTGACTTGAAACACGTTAAAATATATGATGAAATGGGAATGAGTAGTGTTACATATATATCAATTAGTATATTAATTAATATATCAATACTAATAATTATAATATTATTATTAATCTTACTTATTATATAAATTATAAATAATAAAAATATTTTAAATTATATTACATCATCAATTAATACACTAATTAATGTATTAATTGATACACATACCATTAGTCAATGGGATATGGATAAATGACTTTCACTTGTAAGGGATTCGGGAGTCAGTGGGCTGCACCTTCTAGATTGCAATCATCTTTCATGTGCCAAAAAACTATAGGAAAATGCTTTAGGAATCCAAATAAATTACAAAATATTTTATCAAATCTCTCACATGAATGTGAAATTCGTAACTCAAAACTATATGGGTTTGTTTAATGTTACACACGTCTTAAGTTTTCTTTTATCATATATTTCTCTTGCCAGCTTACAAACAAACGTTCCTAATTATAAATAAATAATATCACTTCTTCGTACATATGTCTCATTTTTTTAAAATTATTTATGAAAAAATTAAATTTAATTCGATAATTAAAGACAATAAAATTTTATCATATCATTTCATTATTGGATTAAAATGATTTTTCCTATAAATAATACACACAAGGGCATGCAAAATGAAAGCCTTAAATTATTAGAATAAGACTTATAATAAACCCCAACAGTTTGAATTGCACAAAATTAGACTTCTTATATGACCTCCAATTATCAAACCAATTTAATTAATTTATTATTTTTTTGTAAATGAGCTATACACAAAAAACTTAGAAATTGAATTGCTCATATTATTAGAATGAGATACATGGTAAGTTCATGGCCCAAACTGCACAAAACTAGAGAGACACGGAATCCTAAAAAATTTGTGGGGAACTTACTTAAAAAATTAGTTTTTATTTTATAATGAATGATTCAATGAACATAATTCACCATTTTTGTATTTGATTCTTCCACATCATTATTTCAGTTTGTAAATTTTGTGAAGTAAATTGTTTATAAAAAAAAAATTAAATTAATTGAATATCTGTAATCTATAATAAGATTACATTGTGTTTTTTTTAAATAAATGATTAACATAATTTTGATAATTTTTAAAAAAATTATTAAGACTATAAAATTATAAATATCTGATTAATTTGATTTTTTTTTCATAAATAATATACTCAACAAACCTTTCTTATCATAAAATTAAGTCCAAAACAAACCCTCCAAAACTTTTCACAATAGGATTGTTGTGCCTAATGATTCACGAGCAACCCCGTTCCCTTGAAATTACCACAATACAAGTAAAATTATGTGACACACATCTTATTCAGAAATGAAAACAATTAGCATCGATCAATCAGTATCCTGGCTCTTTCGCTCCTTATATAAAGGCTTAAGCAACCCATAAGTCAAACCCATTGTAACCAACCCTCCAAACAGAACTCTAGCTGAAGATTTTCTAATTGAAGAGCCACCAAGCCAAGCCCCAACTCCCCCAAAAACAGCCAGTGCAATTGAGGTCACCACCACAATGGCCACAACCCTTGCTATGTTTTGAGCAACAAGCAAAGCCGGTATTAAGGGCACAACTGACCCACTCAGAAATGACAAGGCCGATGCAACTGCAGCCCCGTACGGGTTTGGCAACGCTTTCTTGTCGTAATCCCTCTCCTCGCCTTGTTCCAATTCCTCTTTTGCATCCTGTGCAATCACTTTGAGCACTGGGGACTTGGCAGAAGCAACAACGATGGGCGATTTTCGCCCCAGTGTCATTGCTTGTGAAACTGTGGGCGATAATTGCTCCAATGATTGCTCGACATCACACGCCATCTTTTTGCACGTGCTAGTCCTACCGGGATTAGTGTCAATCACGGTGGTCCCATTGGGGCTGGTGGTGATGTGGAGCTTGATCTCACCGCCATTTTCTTCTCCATGCTGTTCGGTTTTTGAAGAGTGGCATAATGTTTCCTTCTCGATATCTCTTTGCGTTGACACGGAAACAAATTCCCCGACAGCCATGCTACAAGCGCCTGCCACAGCTCCAGCGAGTCCAGAAAGGATCATGGAGCGTTGGTCTTCTTTTGCCGCACCTACACCAAGCATAAGCGATGTGGTGGATAGCAACCCATCATTTGCTCCTAAAATGGCTGCTCTCAGCCATTGAGCCCTTTGCAATCTCTTCAGCCTTGCTTCCTTCTTATCCTCTGCTTCTAGCTTGTGTTCAGCACGAGCATCGAGCGTCTGTGGATCACAAGCCATAGAAGATAGATGAGAAAGAAATTAAGAGTGGAGTGTGGCTTTTGACTTGAAACACGTTCAAAGTGCGTGCACGTGATATACCAAAGTAGGACATCAACAATGCTGGACAAGAATCATAGGAAGCGGAGTTGCTTACATAGAACATTACAAAAGCTGTCGTTGAGGTCTAGGAGGGTGCCATTGTGAAGCCAAGAACTCTTGTCAACCTTTTGTTTCAATGAAGTCAAAAAAAAAAAAAAAAAAAGCAAATTTTTAAACCCACTATTGAATATAGTTTCATTTTGAACTAGGGGGTTTATGTTTCTTGTCGTCTTGTTCAGGCTGGCCCTAGTTCCTATCCAAAGATAAGAATCTCTTCCACAATAGTCGGCTTCTGAGTTCATGTAAAAGATTCCTGTGAAAATGGAGTTTGCTAATGGAGCAGGGTGAATCCAGCCTAACTTAAAACATTATGATACAAAATTGTACTGCTTTGATTGAGATGAATGAGTTGCAAGATGGAAAGTAATGAGGTAGGCACCGGTGTTGTGCCGGCGAAAGATCCTTTGATGCTAAAGTTAGCGAATGATTCTGAGGATCGGAAGAGATGTCCAGTCAATGTTGCTTAAGGAATTGCTTACCTCAGGTGACTGTAGGTTGTATTCTTGTTTTGTAGGGATCTTTGGCGTGATTTGTTATCGTTATTTTTAGCTGTCAAACTTGATTGTAAACACAGTTTTTGGGCATTTTAAATAAGTAAAACAGGTTATGGCGCAACTTCCTCCTGGATCATGTGTGTGATTGGGTTTTACTGAGCGAGTTCCTACTGATGCCTTTTCTGACCAGGGCCTGCTCAATAATGAACAATGTCGACCTGACCTTGTCATGGCTAAATATCTCTTATGAGGTATAAACAATCAAACAATCTGAACTTGTCCAACAATGGTGAGTTTTGGTATATGAAATTTCTCAAGGGATTCACCAAGGTAACCCTAGTACTGTTCTAATGTTTGAGCCAGGCAGTTCCTAAGGAACCATGTTCCATTTGGGTATTAGATCCCACTCTCCAGTATTAATTAAATTAACTAGTGCTAATCCATCAAAAATTGAAAGAATTAGAACCATATGAGACCAAAATTTGATTACAGTCAAGCAAGTACACTGGCATTAACAAATAGTAAACATTTTTCAAGTTCCAAGTAGGTAGCCTCCTATACATATCAATTTTTTTTATTACCTCACTCATTCAGTAATAAAATTAAGATATTAAACAGTGTATGTTCTTGGAACACCACTAATTAAGAACGACCAATACTAACCTGACATTGTTTAATTGTTTTCATATGCAAGACTTGCTCCCAAAAAATTTCTGAAACCCACAATATGTATTTAACTGTCTACCTTCCAACAAATTCTTTTTTTCATATGTTATTTTACACTTATATTTCAAGTTCCAACATGATCAAATTAACAGAACAACAATAAGATAGAATCTCATCTAGAAATTAGATAACTTACAAACTCAAAGCATTACGAAAGACAACAATGACAACAAAAATAGTTCTTGCTAAAATTAAGAACATGAATCTTACCAAATCAGCCATCCAAGTTAGAACCTGTGGCTCTGACCATAAACAATTAAAACTATACAAAATCATCCTGCAGACATAATTGTACTTGAACCATACTTGTATAGCATTTCAAATGTAGTTCAGATAACAATTCCCACATTCAGCAAATTAGTGTGGATAAAAACTTCTAATCCATGAACCAGTGACTACATTTGAGTGATAAGAAATATAGTAGTAGCTTGACCTTACGACTCTGGGTTCATGAAATGTGTGTGGACCATTTTGACATCCCAAGCAAGAGTAGAGAATGCCATTGAATATGTTCCTGAGTATAAAGTCTCAATAAGTTGGCATTCCTCATAAGCATTCCAACATGCTGAGCTCCAGACCCACGAGGCAGTATGTCTAACAGCATAGCCCTTAGAGAATACACAGTACAATGTGATGCTTTTCTATCAAAGGCACGATGCAATGACTTTTTTTCTGCACATAATCTTCCAAGAGCGAATAGCACATATCAACAGTATGGCTTGACTCAACTATTGTCTTCAGTCTTTAAAATCATCAACTAGACGAATTTAGTTACAATGTCTAAAATTTCTGCTCTTCCACAAAGGGGGTTCTTACAGGCCACTGCAATGACAACCATGTATTTGCTATTTTTAAATAACTCTCTGAATTCCCAGGCAATGCAATCCAGTAGAGTATAAAATAACAGCATTCTCGGACTAAACTCTCTGTCCTATTTTGCTGGTTCGTCTCTTTAAAAGCCACCAGTGCCCGAGTCAGGCAGAAGCTGAAGGCTGATTTTTTAAGCTCCATCAAGAGCAAGGGCTTTGGTGTCAGCTTGAACTCTCCAACATGTACTTCTATAAGGTAAAATTACCTTCTTCAAACACAAATAAACCGACATGTGAATTATCATTCTTTTGCACTTCACTCGGGTGGTGAAACTACTGAAATCGCAGTACCATGATGCACCAAATACAAACACAGATACGTAGCCTCTTCCCCTAATCTTCAGCCCTTGCTAAACAATAAACTGAACTATCCTGAGCCAGTTTTCGAATAGAAATCTAATAAACTTCTCATACTCATTACATAACAAAAGCTTTTCCCACTTCCAAGCAATTGAATCCAGTTTCTTCCAAGTACATCTTCAACAAGTTGTTGGGTCAGTATTTAGCAGAATATGCAGAAGAGATGTCCAGTCAATGTGCAGTGGCTGATCACAGAAAGTTGGATATTTGGACTCGGGATTTGACTATTAATAGTGGCTAGCCTGAATCTTAAATAGATACATACATGGCATTAAAAGAATTGTCAATTTAGGTCTTGAATCAGGTATGGATGATTTTTTTTTTTTTTACAGCAGATTGTTTCTTGCATGCAACATCTCATGCTGTAGAATTCCGTGTGGAAAGTCTTCTTACGAATCTAATTTAAATGATTGATATTAGTACAGCACACATGATACTTGGCTATGTTGTTTCTTTTCATCTCCCAACTTCCCCAGTTGAAATTCTTTTTACGCAAACCATGACAAGTATGATACATAGACAGTGCTTGAGTGTTGAGTCGGTAGATTCTGATAAGTAATATTCACTCAACCCCACTGTTCGCTCAAACACTGGGTCCAATAGGGGGTTTGGGGGGCCTCCTCCCAAAGGGGAGGGGGTCTAGGAGCGCCTCTTTTTTAGGTACTTTTGTAATTCCCATGTTGCTCCCGTATAATCCTAATTCTATACTTATAAATAGATGAGGGGTGCCTCTTTTAGGTGAAGAGAGTTGTATTTTCTGATCATAGTGAAAACTGCAGCAGTCGTGGACGTAACTCTATTCTGGAGTGAACCACGTAAATCCTTGTATTCTTGTGTGTGTGATTTGTTTGATTTATTTTTTCTTCCTTGTTTGTTATTTCGTGTCTCACTGATCTTGGTTAGAAATGGTGAAATCCTAACATTGAGAATAAGCGAAAGCTATACGAGCACAAAGCCCCATCCTTCCTGACCTAGCAGAAAAACATTCTAATATGAACAATTATGGAGGATCTGATACCATGCACGCACAATATTTCGCATAACCTAAAGTTAAACAAGAGCATTGTTTCCTCATTACCTCCCTTGAGGAAATCCTTCTCCTTTGAATAACGGCTAGTAGGAATAGGAAATACAATTTTGCATGACAAATTAGTAACCGTTGAATATTCCCCCTTTTACTCATCTGCTCTCTCCTTCATTCTCTGTCACATTGAGAAGTCGCTGAAATTCCATGAATGATGCAAATTATAGAACCAATGCAACTAAAAGGAGTAAAATATAATGCCACAACTCATAAAATTTCATTCAAAGCAAACCGTGTCATGCAAGAGTAAGTAATCACATTCATTGTTCTTCTTATAGAATGGAAAAGGGAGAGTTGAAACAATTGTTTGTGCCTATCCAATAAACAAAAACTGAAGATATTCTTTCTTCAACAGTGAGACGCTCATATATCAATCTAACTTGTGTACCGCTAAGAATTTCATAGATATACATATTTCAATGCATGACTAGAAAGAAGAGAAACACTGATGGTAAATTCATTTGCAAATGCAGTTGTTGGTGTACCTCAAGAAAGTATAATTGAATTCAACAGAATATGGGTTATACAGTGTTGGTGTACCTTACAAAAGTATAATTGAATTTAACAGAATATGGGTTATACAGGGCCCTAAAGTATGAGTTCAATACTAATGATTATGGCTGCTGGCCCATGCAGCAAATTTGACTCTACAGAAAACCATCCCTCCGGTCTTGTTCCTCAGCCTCCTTGTTGGCAGCTTGAACGGATTTGAACCACAAAAATGCCTATACATATTCAATAATTTGGTTAGATAAAGAACAAAACTGAATAAAATAAATGTTAAGTGGTCCATTTTCATGAAAACAATCAATCTAGAAGTTCTAATGGACTTGGCATATCTTGACACTAATTAAATTATAATTCAATTGTTAATTGGTTTTTCTGCTCAAATTTACCAGCATCAAAACTTATCAAAACTCCAAAAAAAATTCAAAATGCTAAAATCATAGCTTTGGAGATACGGCCCATTAAATAGATTCAGAGCAGCTTATCACGATAAATGGGAAACGCAAAAAATAATTGCAAATCAATGAATGCAAGTGAGAACTATGCAAAACCCACTTGCACCCCCATTGATTTGCAATTATATTCTCAGTTTCCCAATTTTATGTTTATGCAATGTTATCCCCTTTTTCCCAGTTCATAAAAAACCAAAATGCTTAAAAGTGTGAAAAGAAATCATATTAGCAACAACTTACAGAGGTGGGTATGCCAGTAAAAGCAAAGAATCCGAGCAACGGAGCATAAAAGACACTGTCTGAGCTCAAAACACCAAAAACAGGTTTTTGATTCAAGTACTCAAAAACAGAACCAATCTGCACAAACCCACAAATTTCAATCAAAAAAACAAGAAACCCAGATCACTGAACACAAACGAGTGAAGAAAAAAAAGAAAAAAAAAGAATTGGGTTTGGAAGCTCACGGCGGCAATTGCAGTGATAGCAGAGGCAAGCAAGTAGACGAAGAAGGGGATCTGAAAGCTCTGCTGCGAAGCACTCTGAGACGCTTCGTCTCGAGCCCAAGGAGGAGGCTCGTCCGAGTCTGGTCTAGCCCATGAAGGTATTGATTCTTCTTCCTTCTCTTTGCTCGAGCCCTCGGTCACTGCAAAGACTGTCAATCTGCGAGAACGAGACGAGTTTTTTCTCGTAGTATTCTGAGAAATTTTTGTTGCAGTGAGGAGTGATGGTGTGGGACAACATGGGTTGAGTTTGATTGAACCATAGATTGACGAATTAGAGGCGTGGAGAGAGGATGACAAGGCTAATGCAACCATGGATTCGAGAGTGTGTGATTAGATTTAGAAGAGAAAAATTCAGAAACACATCCTCTCCACAGGCCAGAATTACAAGCGGAGAAGACAGGAAGGCCCTTCCAAAGGCATATGTTATCTTTTTGTTGGGCGGAGGAGAGGCGTTGGTCTTGGTTCACCTACACTTCTCATCTCTGGCCCACTTTATTTGGAGAGAAAATATTTTGTACGAAAAATACTTTTCAAATAAAAATTTTATTAATATTATCATATTATCGTCGTTATTCTTACTTTTACTACCAAATCATCATCACCACGGTTATTATCAACACCACCATCGTCATCACTGCCACCACAGACCCACCGTCGTACCACCAACTCCACCGCTACAAAATTTTAAAAAAATAGTTCTTTGAAAATATTTTCTAAAATAAAAATTCATTAAAATTATTTTTCACCTTAGAAAAACAGAATGTTATATCATTTAGGTACTGTTTGGTAACATTTCATTTTCAGTTTTCTGTTTATATTTACAAAAATTTTAAATACTCAAATAAAAACTTATTTGGTAAATTTTTGATTTATAAATCAGTGATCTTAATTTATAAATTTGGCCAAAAAATATAAACTCAAAAAATATGTTTCCGTTTTGAGTTTTGAGTTTTTTTTTTTTTACCACCCAACACTAGTCACCACCCACCACCATTTTCCCCCACCGTCTTTCGCCACCACCACCAACCACCCACCCCCACCACCCCTCACCCCCCACTTGCCACCACCAGCTACCACCCACCTGTCACCCACTCGCTACCACCACCACCCACCTGTCATCACCCGCCACCCGCCACTACCATCCATCGCCTGCCACCACCACCTGCCACCTACTTGCCATCACCACTCACCACCACCACCAACCACCACTCGCTACTACCCACCACCCGCCACGCCACGGTCACCCACCCCACCCACGCATCACCACCGTCACCACCCAATATCCACCACCCATCTACCACCACTTGCCGCCACCACCACTACCCACTTGCTACCACCCACCACCGTCCCACCCACCCACCCACACCACCACCACGCGCCACCAACCCGCCACTACCACCCACTCGCCACCACCCACCACCACCCGTCACCACCACCACCACCCGTTGCTACCATCTAGCCACCGTCCACTCAGCCACCACCAACCACCACCCCTCACCTGCCACCACCCACCACCACCGTCACCACTTTCCACCACCGTCTTCCGCCGCCACTTGCTATTTCTTACTCTTTTTTATAGTTATAAATTTTTTTAAACATTTTATCAATTACCAAGCACGCTTGTAGTTTATGTTTTTCTAAAAATAAACAAAAAATAAACAAAAACTAATTTATAAAATTTTTGTAAATATAAACTGAAAACGTAAATGTTACCAAACAGACCCTTAACATTTCTTATTTCTATCTCATGATATTTTTGGACCGTATTTTCCTGTTTATGTTTTCGATGTTGGTAACTATTAAAAAATGTATGATGGTGGGCAATTTAGATTAAATCTCAAATTATAAATTTATTTTCAGTGGATTCATTTTAGATTGTTCGAGCAATGCATGAATGTCTAGCAACTTAGTGCACAAATTTTCTGATAAATTAAGTTTTAGAGGGGACAAAATATATGAAACTGTGGGGACATAATTTTTAAATGATAATATGTGGCCGAGGTGACACCGAAGTGTCAGCTGAGATGTCACGTGTTCTGATCATGACGCCGAAGTAATCTCGGTTAGACCGAGGTTATCTGCAAAGATACCGAAATCCAGAATAAGCGGATAAAGGACAAGAGTCCTAGAATGAGAAAGGACTTCAGTTTGGATAAAGATAAGACTCTTAGAGAGTTTATCACAATCTAACTAGGAGTCTAGGATGAGCAATGAGACAGAATCCATTGAAGCTAGGCTTCTATTGGGATTAGGTCAGTGTTGGTTATAAAAGAGAGGCACCCTCGTGGGTCTAAGGTATTGTTTTTTATGTTCTATCTAGCAAGTTAACCACTATTAGTTATCTTTGAGAGATATTGATTACTGACTTGATCGTCGGAGTGCCCCCGGGTGGACGAATCACCACCGAAATCTTATCTTTTTGTTGACAGGTCGTTCGGGCTTAATCTATCCTGCCAGTGCTCTCTAGCTGGGTACCTGTTTGGCAGTGTGGTCAGAAATTGACAGACACAATTTGGCGTCGTCTGTGGAAACGAAAGGAGAATAGATGGCCAACGACGGACAGAAAGAGAAGGTTGGAGACGACTTCCCTACTGGGAGTGGAAAACATGTTGACCCTAATGCAGAGGAGGATAATTGTAACGAGGAGACTCGAGATCAGAATCATAGGGATAAAGACGTCGGCCAGGAGGGCGACGTACCAAAGAAGTCAGACCGAAGCGGATGTTATAACAAGGACGACCTCCAGGTATAGAAGGATAGATGCATGCGGAGGGACGAATAGATGAAGGGAATGGCGAACAAATTGGCCGACCTGTAAACGGTCGTCAATTTCATGATACAGAACAACGTCATGCAGCTACCATTCCCATTACAAGACACGCTGATTCCAGCGGCCAAGAACAATGCCCAGAAGGGATAACCCCTTAGAACGACAGGATTAAGGGACATTCTCACTGACCTTCACGGAAGGTCGGGCATGAGGAATCAACAAGGAGAGAATCCTAGAAGACACGTCGAACCAAAGAAGCTTGCACCAAAGAACATCGGGATGTTCAGGCAAAGGAACTCTGTTTCGACACGACCAATGGAGGGAGGTCCAAGAGGACTCACAATGATACCGGAAGCAGCGCCCCGAAAAGGCTGAAATCCGAAGATAGTTGAGCTCTTGGACGGACCAAGGAGGATCTAAGGGATTACCTCAAAAGAAAGCAACAGAATGCCGTGAGGTAACCTCTCCTGTCAAGTCGAGAATGTCAGTTTTGGTAGAGTTGGACAAATTTAAGGCCCCGAAAAGGTTCAGTATGCCGAGATTCTAGATATACGATGGTATGCTAGACCCCAACTTTCACGTCAGCTTGTACCTGAACTCGATGGCACTATACACCGGGAATGAGTCGTTGCTCTGCAAGGTGTTCCCCTCGTCCTTCAAGGAAATTGCATCGGATTGGTTTCACAAGTTGCTGAAAGGAACTGTGAAAACCTGGGAAGGCCTGGTCGAGATGTTCGTGGCCAGGTTTGTAGCAAACAAGTTACAGCCATTAAGGGTGGACTCCTTGATAGCTCTGAGAATCGGCGAGGATGAGAGCCTTAGGGCCTATGCCAAGAGATACTATGAGGTATTCAACCGGATACCAAGATGCAACCAAGAGGTGGCGGTCGTGTCTTTTAAGAATGGCCTAAAAGATGATTGTTTGATTCAAAAATCATTGGCAAAGACACTGCCAAAAAGTATGGAGGAACTGATGGCCATAATTGAGAAGTATGCGAGGGCTGAGGAAAACACGCCGGGGACGAAGGCGTCGAAGCAAGAGAAGGGAAACGGCTCGCCGAAGCGAAGCCGAGGTAATGGCGGGTACAACAAGCAAGAGACGGGATTAAGGGCTGCGTAGGCCATCACAACCGTACTCCGAATCCCAGTTTACGAAGTCTTGGAGAAAATTCGAAATCAGCCCTATTACAGAGCACCAGTAAGGGTTCTGGGTGAATTTATGGGAAAAAGCCTTGGCAAGCACTGTGCTTACCACAACGAAGATGGGCATCTAACTCAGGGGTGCAGAGCCCTGAAGGCACATTTGGAAGACCTGGTAAGGCAAGGTCATTTAAGGGACCTTGTAGACGAGGTCGGGACAAGGGAAGAGCAAGCAAGATTACCTCAGGCACTAGCAACACCGCCTCCTCCAGCACCACAACCGCAGGCAGGCAGACCTCGGGTAATCAATGTGATTCACTCGAAGGTCAATGAGAACGAAATACGTGGGGAGACTCAAAAGGTAAAACACTTACAACATGTGTACCAGGTCAGGCAGAAAAGACCTAGGGCAAATGAGTGCCAGGGACCAGTGGTGTCCTTTACTGACGACGACCTAGAGATGGTGCAGCATCTACACAACGATGCCTTGGTAATATCCCTCAAGATTAGAAAATACCAAGTGAAGCGCATCATAATTGACCAAGGCAACTCTTGTGACATCATGTATGTCAGGTGTTACAAGGAGCTTGGCCTTCACCAAGATGATCTGGAATAATCCAAAGGTCCAATGGTCAGGTTCAATGGAACGTCGACATGGCCCCTGGGAGCAGTTAGCTTGGAGGTGCAGGCTGGCACCAAAAAAATAAAAACAGAGTTCACAGTAATTGATACTCCCTCCCCTTATAATGCTATCTTGGGAAGGCCATGGCTGCATGCAATGGGGGTTGTTCCCTCAACATTGCACCAGCTGTTGCAATTCCCAACAGAGCATGTAATTGAGGAGGTCAGAAGGGATCAAATGCAAGCAAAGAATTACTCCATGGCAGCAATGAAATCCATCTATAACATACGAGAAGTAGAAGCAGCAGAGATTGAAGATGAGGACATGGAATTCCTGGATGACGTTGGTAAAGAGCCAGCCGAAGAGAGTGAGGAAGCCCTGAAGAAAATCCTTGCCCAACAAGGGAATGAAAAGCGCTTCTTCCTTCTCGGCTCGAGCTTGGCCGAGGAAGAGGAAAAAGAGCTAGAGGTGTTCTTGAGAGCAAACATTGAGATGTTTGCCTGGACGTCGTACGAGATGCCTAGCATTGACCCCGAGGTCACTTACCATAGACTGAATGTGGACAGGTCGGCTAAACCTGTCATCCAGCGAGCAAGAAGGCCAACGTTGATGCATGTTGAGGCAGTGAAAGAGGAAGTGGATAAACTTCTGGAGGTGAGGGCCATTCAAGAGGTAAATTACTCGACATGGTTATCAAACACGGTGCTTGTGAAGAAAAAGAATGGGAAGTGGAGGGTTTGTGTGGACTTCACCAGCCTGAACAAGGCTTGTCCCAAAGACAGTTTCCCATTACCCAAGATTGACCAATTAGTGGATACCACTTTAAGGCATGGAAGGATGAGCTTCCTGGATGCATACAAGAGGTACTATCATATAGCTATGTACCCTCCAGATGAGGAGAAGACTACATTTATCGCTCCAAAAGGGCTA